GCAGTGAGACTCGGGGGCACAGCGGCAACGCACGTCCGTGGAGGCAGGACCATCGGACACCCCTCCCGGGAGCCACTTGGGCAGCGGCCAGGGTCCCTGGCGATCGGGCGTCAACTGCTCCAAAGCACGAGAACCTCAAGAACAGACTGCCATTCCCGAGTGGGTGTCTCAGTGACAGACAGCGGCGTCCCCCAGGCTCCCCGGGGCCCCGGGAGCGAGGCGGTGTGGTCCTAAGCAAGCAGGCAATCTGCGGGGGAATGAGTGACAGCCCTTCGATCTGAGCATCGTGCGCACACACAGCAGATGGCGTGCATGCAGCATGCGACGCAGGAAAGAACACGCCATCTTACAGTCCATGCCACGCACATGTAGCTTGTCTATACGATGCACATGCCCGTGTGCAACACGCCTCTGCAGTTTGTGTACATGTCTGTATGCCTCTGTGACGTGCACATGTTACATAACATGCACACAGCGGGATGCCCGCAGGGAACACAGGCCTGAGAAGCCGATTCCGACAGGAAAAGGGGTGGAAAGACCTGCGGATGGATGCCCAGAAGTGACCCCAGGACGGAGCTGTCTCCTCGGGGAAGTGGAGGCCAGCAGGCTCCCCTGGCCAGGGCCCGGCTCCCCCTGCAACCCGCACGCCATCCCCCACAGGACACAGGCCCTCCTCTCCTGCCCCCACCGCATGTGCCCAGCCGTCAGCCCAGGGACAGGCCTGCTGGCAATTGCGGGCTCCCAGGCTGCAGTCACGACCCAGCCGAGTCTGTCTCCTGGCACCGGACACAGGGTGACCAGTGCCTGCTTCTGTCTGTCCCTGAAAAGGCCGCCCAGGGCCCAGCCACACGGGGAGGAGGGGCTGGTTGGCTCTCCCCCTCCCTGCTCCTCCTCCGCCCCCTGCCCCCATCAGTGTGTTTACACGTTTCTGTTGTTCACCGTGTGACACTGTCAGGCTGCTGGCAGCCAGCTCACCCTCGCTCCCTGCGCCCACCTCCTTCACCCCAAGGCCCTGCCTGGCCGACACCCTCGGTTCTTGTCGCCGGGGCCACAGCAGCCCCGACCACCTTCCTCGGGCCCTTTCTGTCCTCATCCACCCAGATGTCATGGCCAGGCTTCCCCAGGCACCGCTCAGCGTCCATGTAGTCCCAGCCCAGCCTCACCCCCGCGGCCGCCCCGAGGAAAGCCGTTTCCCAGGAGAACGGA